GGGGCTGAGCGAGACGCTGGGGAAGTTCACCGACGTGGGCCGCTTTGTCACCCTCACTACCCAGTGCCTGCACCGCCTGCCACCCCACGTCCAGCAGAGGTTTGTCCGTCTCAAAGGCCAGGACAAGCTGCCCGAACTGCTGCAGCTACTCAAGGAGCGCCCAGCTTCCGGCGGGGCTGTTCTCATCTTCTGCAACAGCGCCAGTACTGTCAACTGGCTGGGTTATATCCTGGATGACCACAAAATCAAGCACCTGAGGTTGCAGGGACAGATGTCAGCAGCTGCTAGAGCTGGCATCTTTGCCTCCTTCCAGAAGGGTGACGTGTCTGTCCTTGTCTGCACTGACCTTGCCTCACGGGGGCTGGACACCAGCAGTGTGCAGCTAGTGGTCAACTATGACTTCCCAGACACCCTGCAGGATTACTTGCACCGCGTGGGGCGAGTTGGACGGGTTGGAAGCAAGGCACCGGGAGCCGTGGTTAGTTTTGTTACCCATCGGTGGGATGTGGACCTGGTGCGGAAAATAGAGACTGCAGCCCGGAAAAAGACAGGTCTTCCAGGCATGGACTCCTCTCTTAATAAGCCTCTGCCTAAAGGAGGTTGATTCAAGTTGCCAAGCAGTAGTAAATGGCCTGGTAGGGACTGGGCTTGAAGTCATTAAGGCAGAGTGAATGAGCTTCTGTGTGTGAGAACCAGGTGATAAGATTAACTTTGTGCATTGTTCTGGTAGCTGCAATAGTCATTTCCATAGGCATCAGAGCTCAAGGCTTTCGGAAAGGAAGCTAGTGGGTAACAAAATGCTTTTGGAGAAAATGAAAGAATGATCTCATCACTTGATTTGGTTTAGTTTTGTTGAGACATTTAACTTAAACTCAGATCAGTATGAAAGTATGCCTGCATGATGTGCAGCTCTGTTACATTGCATCATTTCCCACCACCAGCAGCTAAACATTCATAATTAAAAATTGCTAATGTGGCAGGAAAAAGAGAAGACATTTTCCTAACTTTGATATATCTTTGATCAATTATAGGTACATTTAGAAAGGCTAAAGGACAAATTGTATTTGGTTTTCTTGTGATGTAGCAGTTCATTCAGAGAATTCTAGACCAGGTACCTCTAAAGTTTGATGGGAATGAGAAGGCACAATAAACCTTGAGGCTTTTTCAAGGTCGTAATTTGTCCTTTTATGGTTCCTTTTCACAGAGAAAGGGGATCTTGCTTCATGTTCCATGAAATAATAAAAAAAAGCCTTTAAGTGTTTTCTGCTCGTTTTTTCTGCATGCTGTAGTGACATGTCCAGTGTCTGAACTGATTGTAAAAACAACAACAAAAAAACCCCCAACCCACCAAAAAATTTCTCCTGTTAAAGGAAAAAAGTGTGTTGACTTGCAGGTAACAGAGTGAGTATGAGATTTCTTTTTAATAGTATGCTATTGTTCTTTTCTGCTTTAAATGAAAAGGATTAAAGTGAGACTGCGGTGATGTCGTATCTAGCTGCTAGTTTGTATCCATGGTAAATTTGCACACAAAAATAGCATTTTAGCTGTGATTTCTGTTGCAGTGATGTATCACAGCCTTTTCTTTTAGTGGTTTTTACCATGCTATCCACTTTAGCCTGTGCTAAAACTCAGTATATAGAAGTAGTAAGCTGTCAATTTAAGAGATCACAGCATAGTATCTAAATCATTGGTTTCAGAGAAAATAAGGCACTGGAGCTACTCTTAGTATACTGAGAGTAAAAACTAAACAAACAGAAAACTTGCACAGATAATCATTTATGGTAAGGCTATATAGCCTTATCCTAGAAATTGTACACGTGTGCTCTCTTCACATTGCACAGTTAAGGGGCTCTTGGGGGAAATTACAAGCTGAGGTAAAATTATTTAATACAATGGAAAGCTTTCAGCTTTATAGAAATACAGTGGAAGAGTGATCCACTCAGACTGGAAACCTTTATGTTTTGGACCTATTCATTGCATGGACTACTTGCCTCTCACCTGTAGTTTATTGAATTGAACTGCAAATCAGGCCATTGATGTGTCTACAAGCAGAAGCTTACTGTTCATGTATAGGAGTAGGGTAAATCCCTAAACAGAAACCTGGGGACAGTCTAGTATTCTAATTTACAGAAGATCCTATTTCTGTTTCTTAATATGTGTGTTATGTTGTATCGGGTCCTCTGAACTGCTGAGAAATAGTTTCCTTTAACTGTCAACACACAGATTAATTTACATGAGGTAAATTGTATTCAAGAAACTCCAAGTAAGAAATTTTATTATTTGCTTGTCTGCTTTGCCTGAGTGGTTTCAGGCTGACTCCACCTCAAGTGTCATGTAATTTGAATCTGATCTTTTTCAAAGCTGTAGTGCTTCACTGTATTAGCATAAATACCAAGTAACTACATGCTTCATAGAGTTTCTTTCCTGAGGCAGCTGGTGATGGTGACTGTGCTTCCCAGTTCAACATGCAGAGTTGCCCTTTTAAGTTCCTGAGGAAAATTTTTGCTTGGGATCTCAGATGTCCAACTTCAAGTATTGTGTCTTCTCATAGAGCTGTTGCACAGGACTAAATCAATCCATTGTTCAGGCTAAAATTTCATAACTGTTGCAGATGTTGTGTGCTGTAATACTTTGCTCTATTACCTACAGTTTTCAGCTAAATAATGCAACCAAAGTTAACCACAGTGAAATGATGTCTCATAAACAGTAACTTCTGACACAAGATCCATAGTCAAACTATGTGGCTATGGTCGTTCACAATTAATGCATCTGCTTAATTTGTATCAGTAACTAAGTGGCATTAGTGATGAGAGTAGTTTTATCCTTGAGTTAAAATATGTGGAAGGAAAATGGGAAGAAGGTTGACTTCTGATAAATTACCCAGATTATAAAAGGCAATGTGGGCATACTTGACACCGAGGTATAAAATACACGTTAAAAAGTAATGATTGGTGTATTACATGTTACAGAAGTTAATTGCATGTGTTCTAATGGCTGTAACAAAAGATGTTGAAGATGCTATACAAGGTTATATTTAGATGTTTTTGTTATATTTTTTAGATGTATAATTTGTAGTTTAACTTCCATAACTCACTTTTCAAAACCCAGTACTGTAGTCTATGAATCTGGAACCGTGTTACAGTGAATCCCATGACAGGTCAGTCTGGATTGCAGCACACAATATTATAGAATTAGGCAACACAGTGAAATAAGTTCTTTCAGCCATATACATCTTAATTTTGAAGTAATATGCACTTTATGTATTTACATATGGTAACCTTGATCTCAGTACAAATGTTCTAAACTGATTGTTGATCAAAACAGTTTATTAAAAAAAAAAACAACAACAAAACTCTCAACTTTTGACATTCATATTCTAAAGAGGCCACTTAAAAGCTTTGGGTAAATATACTCAGAGACCACTGTATTTACCAGTAAAGCCTTTTGTAAACATCACTTTCAAACAAAACCACAGTTCTTTCCCACTTGCTTACTGTTGCTTACAGGGAGACAATTACTGGAGCCAGTGATTAACAGCAGTAATTGCATTCAGGAGCACACAGGCATTCAAACCCTGGGATATATAAGCTGATACAGAGCCACCAAATGCAGATATCCACACCACTGACACATGTCATGTGAAAGGTTTTACTACCCAATAGGTAAATGCTATAGCAGAGCCTTCAAGGAGATTTAGAGACACTATCACAGCTAGCAAGCTAAAACATATGTAGCATATGTTTAAGAAACAAAAGACATATTCAAAGACTTTTTAGTTTTGACTTTTCCCAAACTGCTTTTCAATGCTGTTGAAACATTACAGCACTCATTGTTCACATCCTAATGACCGTCTACACACTTAATTAACTGCTCTTTTCTTGTCTGTCCATATTCTACCTTCAGTGTAACTTATTTTGGACTTTATGGGCATGACTACAACTGCATACAAGTTCTATCTTGTGGGCGCTACAAGTGCATTGAGATACTTCTGTTGCATGTAGCCCAGTGCCTAGCAAGGTACCCTAGGACAAGCTGTGTCAAGCTTCCTAACAGCCAGATGGAAAAATGCTTCCTACCATTCTGGTAATCTGATGAAGTCCACATTTTTGCAGGCTGCACCACTCCCTGAAATGCACCTGTATACCTGCTCTCCCCGGGCAGAACCCTTTCCCCTCCTCTTCCTCCTGAAAGGTATTTGTGAGCCCTATTTACATGTTAGTGGTCAAGTGCATGGTAGAGAAGTTCTCTGTGCGTATTCTGAGCAGTTTCTCAGTGGGAACTGGCCGCAGGAGGAACTTGCAGGTGAAGACTTGCCGGCAGGCCTTGCGGAAGTTTTCCGACAGGAAGGTGTAAATGATAGGGTTGATGCAGGAGTTCCCGTAGGCTAAGCAATGAGAGATGATGTGGAAGGTGAAGGAGATGTTGTTCAGGGGAAACTGCCCAAACTCTGCCCACACGGTGATGATGTGGTGTGGCAGCCAGGAGAGCAGGAACACGGTGACCACAAGGAGCACTGTCTGTGCTGTCTGGAAAAGGCAGAATCGCACATTGAATGGTCACAGTGATCAGGCAAGTCTGTGGTATGAGTGAGTTTGCCTTCCTCTATTAGTACGGAAGACAGCATAACACAGGCAACGCTGACAACTACCAGGTGGGCAAATTATGACAATATGAAAAAAGACGCTAAAAAAACCAACCGTCCTCCCTGGAAAATAAGGATTGCGTGGTTTTGGCTCAAGCAAACAACTCCATAGGCAATGGAGATAATGCCTGTAAAACCTCAAAACACCCCAGAGACTGCAAAAGTAATGCTAACTATGTTACATGGAAGAGTGGAAATAATTCCCTAACATTTGGAGGCTGAGGAACATTAAGGCTGTTGAAAATACCTGGGGGGAAAAACAGTCTGGCTGGAAGGAAACGCTGCCACCGAGAGGACTAACACAGACTGACCTGAGGAGAAAGATTTTTCCAGTAGCTTCCTTCTTACTTTCTCCTTGGGAGAAACCAATAAAAACAATGCATAGAGGATTTATTTTTTTTAAATATGCAGTACTCTTTTGGTTAGAAATATTCCTAGCTAGATGATTACCTGAGGGAGGCCCACCGTGCCTGCGGGATCCCAGCCTGCGTGCCCCTGCAACGCTTGCTCTCCAGTTAGGCTGGCCAGCCACCCTCGCGAGCTGTCATTTGTAAGCCCCAAAGCTTGACCTGAGGTAAAATTCTCCTGAAAAGAGTGTTATTTGAAGTCACCATCCAAAATGAAGGTTAACATGAGGTGAGCTTCTGTCTGCAGCTGTGGTAGCCCCACAGCTGTGGCTGGGGAAGAGGAACGAGGGCTGAGGCGGTGCCTTGGGAGGGGTGAGGAAGATGGTGGAGTAACATGGCAGGGTGGCTGGGTGCTGCTAGGGTGGGAAGGGTGCAGGGAGAGGCAGCTTTGACCAAAGGTTAGAGCTGCTTTGGTGTGAATTTTAGCAGGCTGTTTCTTTGGATTTTGTTCCTTTTGTTGAGGGGAAATAGTAGCTTGGGGAGAGGGCCTCAGGCTGTGAGGAGCCTGGGTGGGGAGAGGATGGAAGGCAAAGACTGAGGTGCCTGTGTTTTGGGTCTGTGAGTCCAGGCTGTCCGCTGTCCCTGAAGCGGAGATCCTCACCAACATAGGCAAAGTCCCTTGCCCTATGAATATTGCTGTGAAGTTAATGTTCAGGTGACCTGCAGGATGCATACCAAAAATTAACTCAGTCTTTATTGAAAAAGTCGTTCTCTTAACAAGAACTCCTCAACTTGGTATAGTTAAGGGTGTGTGTTACAACAAAAGTGCTCTTTTAAATTTTTTTTTATTTTCCTGTAAGACTTTGAAGAAGATGAAGAATGACTTCCATTTACTGTAAGCTACAGTAAATAAACTATAAGTCACTTCAGCTTCCTTTCTGTAAGTCCCTGAGGCCTGTGGGAGTGAGACCTCTCTTTTCAAGTTTAAGGCAGCTGAGGGTGTTGCTTTTCTCTCACTTTCTACTTCTAGTGCGGTCAGTGAATACCTAACAAGGCTCAGAGGTTGCTGACTTGGGGCTCCTGAAAGCCTTTCCTAATGTTTTTGCAGGTCTAATTCCACCTGACTTCAGGAATTTTCACAAATACTAATGGCAATGGAAGGTGAGCATTTCAAATGTATTTAATCCCTCCTTTTTGGGGTACTGTAGCAGATGCACAGCAGATGACTTCCCTCCTCTTCCCCCACCTGATTCTCAGCAAAATGTGTGCTTTTCAACTCTAGTATTTAGTGTTTCTCATTTGTATTTTGTAATTTTAATAAATATAATAATTTGCAAATATGCCGATGCTATCCTTCCCCCTAAGGAGAATTTTTTTACAAGTAACAGAAAAGCAATGGAGAAAAACTAAAACTTAGGCTTCAATTCACCTTAAGGTTTACTAGTCTAGGTCAAGGCTTCTGCCCATAATTCACTTGTATGATTTCAAATGAATAGTGTATAATTACTTTCCTTCCTCCCTAGAAGAGGGATTTTCTAGTGAACAAAACCTCATTTAATCAGTGGTTATAATGGCTACATCTAGTAGTAGTTTTGTCTGCTAGGGAAGATCTGCAGGATTTTGTGTCTTGTTTTAAAGAACTCTATCACTAATACCTGTTATGCTAAAATGTATAAATAGAAGTTATAAAGAATCAGGCTTACATGTATCTAACACCAAAACACCTAAGATGGAATGATCTTTTAAGAGATTAAAACCTCTGTATGTTCTCTGATCGTTCTGCAGCACTGCACAGTTAGCATGACTTGCCAAATTAAGCAGGTGGTATTTCAGTGGTGACTTAGGTGGCTGGGTAGAGCTGGGCTCAGGAAGATTTTGGGGGGGGGATTGCCATTAAACTGGGTATTTCATGGGTCGTTTGCTCCTCTCTTGGTACTCTCTGTGGCTGTGTGCTTTGATTGAGATGGAAGTTGCAGCATGTTTTAGCAAGTCTGCCTCTCTACGGCATATGCTTGGCCTTGCTGGAAATGTAATATGAGGAAAATAAGGAAATGATAAGTACCAGAACTAATGAAGCAAGGTTTCCTAAGGAATTATGTCTTAGATGGAATCTCTGGTGCCCTAAAATACAGTAGTGGTACAACTGAAATACTTCTCCTCAGAGTGTTTGCAGCCTTTCCCTTGTCAGAGGCTCTCCAAATACTTAATGAAGTTTCACTTGTCTAGAGTCTATTCTTGTGATGTTTTTTTCTGTTTTCCTGTATCACTGAGTTAGGTGTTTTGTTCATTAATGTATACTGGCTAACAGAAGGCTTCTGTATTGCAGACTAACTACCAAGATCATTCTGGAGATGATGACGGCATGGAGGAATGACAGCATGCTACAGGGTAGAGCGGAGTGATGTTACGTCATTGCAGAAAAAATAAAAGGTGATTAGATCTTGGTGCATTACATCTGGGATGGTAGCAACCGATTGCAGTTCATGCATGAGAACAGTGGGAGATGCTGCTAAAATAACATAAAATTATGTTATGAACATAAGACTTATAAACAAGTCTTATGTTCATAACCTGGCTTGTTCAAAGGTGTTGGAGATATGGGGTGAAACTGCAGGAAACCTATGTCTTCCATGTTCTTCTATTTCACCTTACTAACTGCCCTATAAAGCTCCTGAAGTTTCCTAAGATTATTTAGAACTTTTAAAACCTTTTGGTTTGATTTTTTCAATGTCAAAATAATTCAAAAGCTGCTTGCAACCCTAAGAAATTGCTGTGCTTATGTGTTCAGATACAGTTCTTTATTAAATACCTAATAGGGCTTACTTTATCTAGACAATTGGAGTTGGATCAGGACCTTCACATTATGCTGACCTTCCTAAGTAACAGTATTAAAACCTGCAGAACGTAAGGACACACTAGAATTCTAATTATCATTTATAAAATACATTTAATCTGATCTTATACCTGAGTGAATCAGACTGAAATGTTAAAGCATATTCTGCATGCTGGGATGGTAGTAATGCGGGAGAAGGCTAAAAGGTGCTTTACGTGGCAACTGCTTTTTCTTCTACTTGTTTAACCCTGCAGAAAAATCAACTGCATCATAAAGAGTTTTCTCTATGTTGGACAGGCACCATCTTTGCCCTGTTTACATAGGTCTGCAGCAATGATCTCCTGCAATAAAAACAGATGGTTATTGAAGTGGAAAAATGTGTTTAGATGTGAGCCAAAAGTAACACCTTCACTTGTTTTAGCTACATTAACCAGTTAAATCTGTTAACCTCTCTGGGAAGATGTTATTGCATTAGATCAAGATTTCTATTGTAGGCAAATGTTTTCTCTGTTATCTGCACAGAAGTAAAAAAAAAGCATTTCTGTCATATAGTGTCTCAAGTAAGTCTGTGTTAATTTTGAAAGGCAATAAGCTGTAGGTTCATCCTGTACCTGGCATACTTCAGGTGCTTCCTTGTTTCACCTACCAGAATGCTGTCTGACATATGAGGTGACAAAGCGTGTTCTCATGCGAGTGAACATCAGCTCGCAAACATCCTCAAACTGGCCACACTGGGAACCAGACGCTGTCCTTAAAAATATACTGATATGATTAGAAGTTGATGGAACTGAAAGACACAGACATAGTGGTCTTGTGGGGTCTAGCTTGCCTACTGTGGTATGATGGGTACTAAAGAAATTATTAATAAAACGGGTCCCATCCATAGCTTTCACCAGCAATAATGGTGCTACCTTTTTACCCTCTACCAGTATCAAGTAGCCAGGACAGCTTGTTACCGAGGCAACCTTTCATAGCATCCTGCTGCTTGAATTAGGGGGCTAGGAGGACCCCTAAAATATTCTTTTGAATAAGGGCTATATACCTAGATTATTTTTCCCTTTTATTCTGAAATAACAAACAGCACATTTAACATAGGGGTGAGTATTAAAAAATGGGTTTGCAGTTGCTATATATTGGCACAAAGCTGTTTCTGAGGTCCAGCTATTTGGGATTTTGCCGGTGGAAAACATAGACAATAGTAGAGCAATAATATACATTATGCATGACTTGAGAAACATATTTTGGAAATGGAACTTATGTCTGGTTTTTCAAGTTAGGGAATATCTAGTTAAGATAGAGAAAACTGAAACAAAACATTATGTTTGGCTTTTAGCATGGTAACTTTGTTGTAGCTAAAACTAATGTTAATATAGACTGTGACCAGCTGTGGAGGACTGATCCAAGTAGCTTGTGTACTGTTTGAGTTTGTTCAGTGGGCTGTGATAATTTGCACAGCTAATGGATTACTGTTGGTCTAGCTGTGCCCACTTAATGCTAGCCGCCTTGGTTCATCTCCGAAGATTCAGTGAGTCCACAGTAAGCATGCACAGATTGTCTAGAATTTACTTGCTTATTCTTTTTTTTAACCTTCATAGGTGATCTGACTTTCATTTATGCTTTCCTGCTTTTCTTTGTCTGTTTTCCCTTGGATTTTTTTCTTTTTCTTTTCCAGCCCTGGACAAGCTATTTCTCGCTTTTAGCATT